TTTGTCATTAAATTCATTGTTATGAAATACAATACGCTTACCTCAGGAAAAAGAGTCGATATAACCCATCAAATGAAAACTATATTAGGAGTGTACATCAAATTATTATTTTGATTGATCAATTATATTAGAGTGAAATAGTTGCCGGTTAAACATACATGATTTGGAAGTTTCACCAATATAACTTATGTAGTCAGATTTTGTATTTGCGGGTATGGCTCTCAGTGTATTTGTTGTTTTGTGGATGTTGAATCGGTGATTTTTGTATTGGTGGTTGTTGAATTGGTGTTGTTGTTTGTAGAGTCATTTGGGTCCTTTGAGGGCAGTTGAGTTCAGCAATACATTCGTGGTTCAGCCTAGCACCATTGATGATACCTATGAGGAGTCGAAACAGCACTGCCTGATGTTGGATCACGAATGTTTTGTTGTCTTCTGGTTCTGCTCTCTATATTTTGCAGTGGAAGCTGCATTGAAAGAAAGAGGACCTATCTTGTTTGGCGATTGATGTTGAAGCTTGACTTAGCAACAGACCGCCTTAGGAAGCCTCGTTTTTCTTCGATACTCGTGGATGGAATCTTAAATGCAGTCTTCGTTCTGGGAGATGTCACCATATTCACCTGAAAGTACTAAATATTAAGAAACATTGAAGTCGGATCAGTGAAACAGAACATGAAGCAAGGATCTATTCACATCCATGTTCTCGTAGAGAAACTTGATTTTTGTTGAGTATATGACATTGTGGTAGCATTGAGAAAGATGCCGTATTCAGAATTTGAATATATGTATGTACTTTGCGATTTGTACGTGTCATTATTGCAATCCTTGGATCTACTGAACGTTTAAAAAGTTGGAACTGAATAATTAATTGAACACCTTGATCTTTATGAGCCAAATGCAAAAGTGGAGCATTTAAAATTGTATGCTGATGGTAATAAAATGGCCAAAACGGTAGCAATTATGTTCAGGTCGACGTATGAATTCATGGTTATGGTTTTTAGTTGATATTTCACCATTCTGCACTGAAGCCATTATTAGATTCTCATTATATTAAAGGCCTGTATGAAAGTGACATTTCTCTACCTATTGTTATCTGTAATCAAGGATATCATACACATACTGGGTTACCATGATTTACAATCTCTAACATGAATATTTTGAATGAAATTGAAATCAGTACTTATATCACTGTATTTTAATATCGATTGCGTCCATGAAAATTGAACATTCAGTTTCAAAATAATGCCTTTGGGTAACACTGATCACTGAAATTTGTGCAATATTGGTGTGGAGTGGTTTCACAAATTATACAGAAACATGAGAGCTATGTAGTTCCTAGACATGCTGCTAATTCAATAACTATAATAGTTATCCACATCCGAGTACATTTCAATGTACACATTGTTTTTGTGTTCTGATCTCCATATTCTGGAAGTACTATTCTTGCGACACTGAAGATCTCAGGATAGTATTATGAGTTTTGACTTCGGGTGAAGTTTTTGTCAGAGAAAAAAAAAACAATTCCAGTGAGAATTAGGGTGAAAATGAATAAATTGATAAATGAATTGATGAATACAAATTACCAAATATTATCAAATAAAATTATCATGTCAACAGTTACAAAAATCCAATACAAAGTTATGATTTTCAAAATAACGTTTATGTATTCGGAAAAGACGATAAGGAAAACTAAACCTACAAAATATTGATAACTATAATTCCAAAATACGAGGTCCGGCTATTAAATAACGAGACTGGTTACGAAAAAGAGTTTTATGATATAAAGTATACATTCGAATGCTCCCGGTCAATATACTTCCCTTCCCTCGTCATACACCTTTCCATACGTTTTATCGATAGCATCGAAGCAGCGCTGGAAGTTTCCTTTGGTAAAGGCCTTTAGGAGTTCTGCTGTTTTTTTGCTTTACCGCTTCCATCGACTCAAATCGGTTCCCTTTCAAAGCAGATTTTATCTTCTGAAACAAAAAAAGTTGCATGGTGCCAAATCTGGCGAGTACGGCGCCGCGTGTTGTGAGCAGGAGCGTGCGAAATACACGAGTTCCTCCACAGCTCGGGCCGTTTCTTACGAACTCGTTCTCGCAGTGTTGCCAACACCGACAAATAGTAAGTCTGGTTGACAGTCTGACCCTCTGGAACCCATTCAGTTATCATGATACCGTTAATGTCGAAAAAAGGATCAAAATTGCCTTGAATTTTCATTTGGACATCCTTGCTTTTTTGATTCTGGGCGATTCAGACGTTTTCCAATGCATCGATTGCTGCTTTGTTTCAACATTCAAATCCACGTTTCGTCGCAAGTACCTGATAATGTTTCTCATCAGTCCGGGATCTTCTTCTAACTTTCCAAGAAAATCTGATCAAACCTGTTGACGCAAAAGCTTTTGGTTAGGAGTCAGATTTTTTGGCACCAACTCCGCACAGACTTTTGCCTGTGGGTAATTCCTCGTGTAAATTTTTTCTAACCGTTTCTTTGTCGGCATTTAGAGCATCGGCAATCATCTGGATGCTCATTCGACGATCTGTACGCAAAATATGGTTGATTTTGGTCACTGTTTCCGGAGTTGAAACAGTGACAGGGCGACTTGGGCGCTGGTCATCTTCATTGCTCTTCTGGCCCTCACTGAAGCGTTTATACCACTTAAAAACACGCGCACGAGATAGGAAATTGTCCCTATAGGCCTCTTGCAACAATTTTCAGCGCTCAGTCCAGAAATTTGTGATTGATGCACAAGAAAAAAATATGTTCGTTTCAAACCGCTACTGGACAAATACAATAATAATGTTAAAAACTTGTTTTAGTACGTGATTAGAGAAGATTTGCAGATACCTAACGCACTACTCGTTTTTTCCCTTCTCCTCTAGGAATGCAGTTTCGTTATTTAAAAGCCGGATCTCGTGGTAGGCACTAAATTTTCAGAAAGGACTGATTTTTTGCCTTGATTTGCCTCTTGCAGTGGCGTACAGATGTGGAAAAATGATGAAATATATAGAATCATAATCTTGATAACAATGTTTTCGTTTCAATGCAGTACTATTTCTGAGAATTTATTACCTACTATTATGGAATTGTACTATAAGAGACACCAGCTATGAAAGTTAGAATAAGTAAAAGTTCGAAAAGTGCGACAACCTTTCAAAATCTACGATATACTCAAATATGATTGACAGCTTCTATAAATCAACTAGGTTCACTTTGAACTAGTTCACTTTGAACTACATGCTATATCACATCATATATTGTTTATATTTTTGAGATGATAATTTATATATCGATGTTAGTAGGTCAAATTTTTGGATCTGAGGATAGCATAACATTTGATATGAAAACGTTATCGTTCTTGATATTTGTCTACTAATCATTTGGTAATAAATCATCGTGAGATAGAATTCGAACTTTGGGTGAACTCTAATTAGAGTGACATCATTTTGTACCTTTCGGTATTCTACCCTGTGATGTTTTATATTTCACAGACATTCCATATCTTTGTTTATTACGAGAATAGTGATCTCACCGCATTTGCGTAGCATAATTTCATCATGTGGAAATAGCAGGCAGATCTATGATTTATGACATTCAAGTTCTGCTTTCATTGTACAATCATTTTTTAAATAATTTCATTCTCAGAGAGGAGATAAGTAGCAGTTTTTCTGCTGCACACCGAACGACATTCAGAACTCGTTGAAGACTGAAGAGTCAAACTATCCGTTGTTATTTCCGAAGAGAATTCAAATCAAAAGTCCATCCTCTAAAAATTGGAGGATCTTTTTTGTTGTTATTTTGGTTAAAGTTAAAACTTCAGACCACCTTCAATATCCATCTAAGCAAATCAAACTGATATATCCATTTGATGAAGAAAGTTGTCCAACCACAAGCGTTTCAAGAGAAGTATTTGTATCGGTAGGATTGATGAAGCACGAATTTTGGCTTTTTTAATTCTTTCTAACACACCTACCTACAAAAAGTTATCCAAAGATACAATTCATGAACAGATCAAGACGAGTACAGTACTTGTCTTTAGACATAGCTGAATTCTAAGTTCGAATCTGAGAACAGCTAGTGGATAAACTAAACATCTCACATTGAACCTACTCTCGTTAGCCTATTCACCAAATCATTTTATCCTAGCATCACCATAAACGAAGCGGTGATCATTAGAGAAGAGAATAATTTCCAAAGCTGCTCAAAAGAGTGTCTGTCATCGATATCGACCGTCGAATAAGGAATTGCATTATGTCTATATGCGTAGCTCACACTGAAAGGTAATTAGCGGAAACTAGAACTCCAAAACAAATCATTTGCAACTCAACACCAGATAGCGCTATTTCGAACTGCCGTATTCTCATTAGTAGTGCTGGGGTGAACCAAATACGTTATTGGGCTCAATTGCCATTAAAAAACAAGCCTGAGAAAGAGTAAGGATGGATATCCTACTTTCATAAAGGCGCAATGCACACAGAAGAGGCTAACTATCAATTTAGTTTAAAATAAACTCTCATACAAGTTTCTCAATTTTTTCTATTTGAAGATAAGTAGAAAGCCAAGAAGGATTTATTTCATGGAATACATTGTTTGATACGTCTTAAATCATGAAGATTGGTGAGACTTGCTCATCATATTGATTTTTTCAGCTTTTCTATATCAATAATATGAATATTTATATGAATATTATGTGAATACTAGTACTATGTTGCTGTATTGCTGCTGTTCCAATGTTTTGACAGACTCAGAATCAACGAACTTAGGCGTGCGCAGCGTTATAGAACACTGCTTTCAAAAAATTGTTCTACAGCGCCATCTAGTGGCGAGTTACAGAAAAATTGATAACCTAAAAACCTTCTCTATGGAAAATTACTGATACATGTCAAGTTTCATCACGATCGGTTGAGCGATGTAGAAGTTTATCACTTACCAACCAACCAACAAATATCCATTTTTATATATTAGATTTATATGAATTTATATCAATATTTTTTTGTTTCAGTTGTGTTTTGCGACTATGTGGCTTCTGGGCGATCTCTGCAATTCATCGAAGAATATATTTTAAGAGAGGTACTACCTACCTATGGGAATACTCATTATACTACCAGCATATCATCACTCCAAACCACATTATTTAGGTATTTATGAAAAATAATCCATTCGATAACTGTTTACGACATTGTTGACATTGACTTTATTTTGTACCAAATCAAATATCTACTTTTGAAAAGTATATATTGAAAGAACGCGCACTTGAAAATTCTAAAATATTTCGAAAAGTACGCTATTGCGAAATTCCTCAAATCGATGCCATTTAACTATCTTTTTATATAGTTGATGTTCGATATAAATGTTTTTTTGAAAACATCACGGTGGAGATTGTAACCAAACAAAAAATAATGCCTTCTACCATGTGTGGCATGAGAGTTTGATGGCCAAACTTCGATGCTATGGCTTGTCGAATCATTTTTGTGTATGTCTCTTCAGCTTCCTGGAACAACGTTCTCTGCACGTTACCGTCGATGGATATCTCTGGAATACTTTCACCATCAACGTCGGTGTTCCCCTGGGATCCATATTGTCTCCAACCATCTTTTTTGTATATCAACGACTTATTGGAAAGGAACAAGAATCCATAATTGCAAAGATTGCTTGGAACACTGTTCCAAACCAGAAAAATGTACACACCTCATTAACTTTTGGTGCTTTAAAAAGCTCAGATCTTCTTTGGAGTATTGTTCTCATGTATGGAGCTCCGCCCTCCTAACATACCCTGAGGCTGCAGAATTCCATCCAGAAAAGAGTAATCCGCCTGATTGGAGACGCGAACATCACCTGCAACCTTGACAGTCTGGAACATCGAAGAAAAGTTGAAGATTTGTCTTCCTTCTGTAGATACTTTAACGGGAAGTATTCAAGTGACTTGGCACATTTGAGGATTTTTCTGTAGTGCTTGTGTTTTGTCCTTAAAAAAAGGAAACTAACCAAAACATTGACGCCAGCTCGAAAGCCCACATTCCTATATTAGATTTGAAGATTTTTCAGTAATAATGAAGTAACCATGGTCTTTTCTTACTGAGTTTCCATCTTTAGGAAGTGCCTTGGTGGCTCATCGGTGTCCAACCACTGTTCTGATCATCTCTTGTTGTCGTAGAGGATCTACTTTTCATCACACATGACGACCCGATCCAAAAAATATCAGTTTGATTTCGCAATAGCAAAGAACTTACTTCGAAAGATGACAATTTCTGTCGATTGTTCAAATCGTAGGGCACCAACTTTTCGAGTTATTTGACTTTCCCAATACGTTTTATATCATCAAAAACCTCATTGGAGATGACGCCCAGTTTTTCTGCCATCCCACGCACCATTTGTGATGAGTCAGTCTCTACCAGGGTTCTCAAATCCTCGTTCTCGATTATTGTAGGTCGACCACTAATGATAAAAATTGAAACTGGGAAAAAATACAGCATCAATGTATGCAGTACAAAATACTCTATCGATCAATATAGTAGAATAAATATTTATAGAGATACGGAGCTACAGAAACACATGACATTAAAACGGACTAAACTTTCGAAACAACCTGATTTATGAATTAAATAATAAAACATGATAAATAGATGAATTTCATAAAAATGGGTTCCATTGAAATTTATGATTTGATTAAGGTTCAGAAAGGTACAGTCGGAGAAAGCAATATGATTCGGATTGAGAGTAATATTATTTTTCATATTCAGTAATCGTAATGCTCTTTGATTATCTTCACTTTGTGTTCATATATCATACACATACCAGTATTTCAACGAATATCTATGAGTATTGTTATGATTCTGAGAACCACAGTGATAGCCCTATTTTGGATGACTATGTGAATGAATTTGATTCGTAGAGCTCCAAACAAACACAAAGTACGACGATGTATAATAAGTACTCACTAATCGAATCAGACTGACAAACAATTTTTTTGACTTTCATTATGTAAACTAATGCACAGTTTGAATAACCATATATGCCACAAGAAATACAATCCATTAGAACTTTTTACGAGCATCTACTTTCATGTTAAGGAAGTTGTGTGTGTGTGTGTGTATGTTTGGATCATACTGTAAATCATTGAAGTTCTGGGTTGAAAAAATTTCATTTTAACGTATTCAAAAACCACTTTATTGTGAGATTTTCACTAAACAATTTTTCAAAACGCAACACGTGTTTCGCCATGTAATGGCTTCTTCGGGCGTGTGTTTACTAACAATATTCTACATATTCAATGCTTAATAAATTTAGTTTCACAATTAGAAGAACCTACATTTCAAGTACCTGATTTTTACCTAAGTTTGTGATGAATTAAATTACCTGAATCTATTGATTTCTAAACATTCTAGAAGATTGAGTTTCAAACTCTTCTCTTCTAAATGTAATGTGTCTGTCGTATTCATGATTGAACTCATGTCCTTCTGCTAAAAGGTGGTTTGCAAATGTGGAATTGGTCTTTCTACTCACCAAACCACTTATATGCTCTTTAATTCTTTGGGAAATGTTCTCCCTGTTGGGCCAATGTACAGTTTTGGAAAGAGCCACAAGTCAGCTTATATACTCTTGATCTATCCGACACCGAAGCTTTGTCTTTATTATTTTTAATAAGTTTACTTAGACTATTATTCGTTCTGTAAGCTACGTTTACGTATTCTTTCTTCAAAAAACAGGCAATATTATTGGTTGTTTCACCCAAATATGACAATGTCCTATAACTGACATTATCGCATCTTGAATTTGGGTAGACCAGGTCCATGTTTTGCTTTTGTAGTTTTTTGGAAATAATGGAGTCTTTAATATCTACCTTAATACCGTTGTTGACCGCGATTTATTTGATCAAATTCAGCTCTCTCTGACAGTGAAATATTCAATAGTTTGTGAAACATACTATTGAATGCAGCAACTTTATGCTGGTAAGGGTGTGTGGAGGAATTATGTATGATAATGTCCGTGAAAGATGGTTCGTGGAAAATTGGAAACTCATATTTATTTCCATTTTTCCTAATGGTTAACTCAAGGTTATTTAATAAATTATTTACCTCCCTCTTAGTGATGAATTTTATTGAGAGGTGGATGGAATAGACATATTCAATGAACTTGCCTAATTGCCTATCTGTATCAGTGGAACAGACTACGATATCATCTACGTATCTGTACCATTACAAGAAACTGTTAGAGTTAACTGATTATTATTATGGATTTCATACTCTATGTTTTCCATGAAAATTTCAGACAGCAAGGGACTCGAAGGGTACTTCATCATTAGTCCTTCACTGCATGAATAGACTATTTTCCTCACACTGGAAATGATTTTGAGATAGACAAATAGTAAGCATATCTAAAATTTCCCGTTTTATCAGTTAATTCACGTGGTTTTTGTCTTCATTTTGAAGTTGCGAATGAAGTTTTGGTTTTCTCGTACAACTGGGTATTCATTTTTGTTGCAAATAATGCCAAATATTTTTTGTGTTTCATCTCCAGAATATATTTGAGAAAAAAATACTGATTGATATAGAGTATACAAATACTGAGACTGAAATTTTTTCGCAAGAATATGCCTCAAGCCATTCTGTCGGTTTCTATACCTTCACTTTGATTCGAACTCAATTAAGTATCTCGCCAAGATGTGTCATCACTTTTCCGGCTGATAATATATAATATTTTACCAATATAATAGTCCTTTTAGCTACACTCAATGAAAAAATATACAACAGAAAAAATACCAGCTTGGACCAAACAGAACTGGCTGGTATCTCAATCGCCACAAAAGAAATAACCAGGAAAGGAATTTCTGGCAAAAACATAACAATTTGGACTGACAGCAGACAAGCCCTATTAGCCTTGAACAGCAACGTATAATCTCAGGGCTAGTACTAGAGTGTCACCAAGATTTAGCCATCTGTGGCAAAATAAACTCCGATTTGATGCCAGGGGTTAATAAAAATAATAATCTCAAATGCGGTTTTTTTCTATTGGTTGGGAAAGGGATCAAAAATGTTTGTAGATGAACAATTTGGTTTTATGACGATCCATCATCGCTCTATAATAAAATAATTTAATAAGTGAACAGTATATGGCAATACATATTGCAAAATTTATGAAGTTTATACAATCTCATATTATGTAAAAGAGAAACAAACAGGTGCACTTACCAAACATTAGTTATCCATGTCAAAAAAACCAGTAAAATATATGTCAGACAAGAAAAAAATATTTTCCATATACCACGATTCCACAGATTTTTCTGTTGTGAAGATATTTTTTCGTTCTGATTGTTACGCAATTTCCATGATAGAATCATTATAAATGCCGATAGTTTGTTGGATAAAATAGATCACGCAGGAAACCAACAACACTTGGGGAATTCCAGATTTCATTCAACACAATCTGCATACATTAGCCTCAAATGGTTATCTAGGAAACAAAAGCTCTGGGGCAGTTCATTTAATATAATAGTTTATGTCATACCATGCTATCGTTACACTAGTTGCATCATCTTACAAGTCTCGTAATAACTATAATTTCCCTTCCATTATTTTTGAGTGGAGTGATCATTACAAAAACACTACTTTGGTTAATGAGGCGTTTTTAATGAAACGTCTCTGATTTCATAATTTATGTTGTTCTAGTCTGAATTATTCATTCCTATATTTTACAAATTTTTTTGTATGAAAGTATTACTGAATACTTGAAGTAATTTGTGTTTTTATGGTCGAAGACAACTGCAACAAAACTATTTTCTGGGTTCGTTGGCCTTGGCATGCAGGATTTCATTCCATACATTTTCTCATTTACAACAACTGCAACATACAGTATCACCGGCTATAGGGCAACATAAGTGGTGCTCTGGTTATTCTTTGCTATCACTGTCGTCATTTAAATCAATAATGAATTTATTTCCACCATTAATATGGAAGTGTCCAATCTCCATATAGTCTTTTTCAACTAAAATTACTTTTTTAATCCTCTTCTGTCAGTCTTTATCGGTAATATTAGATATTTATTCTTTAACTAGCTCTATTACTTTCTTTGGAAAATTATTTTTACGCTTGATGCTTTGTTTCAATTTCTCCCAAATCAACTCGATGGGATTGAAAACACA